TAAGGATGAGATTAACGGCTACAAAAACCCTCAGGCAATGAACATAGACTCGGGAAATGACTCTGATTAGTCAGTCCAAGTTGAATTCTTTGTTAGTTTATGTCTACTTTTTCAGCTTCTTTTGATCTTTGCGAGGAGTATGGACATTTAATTTACACGCACAGCCATACATCATTTTTTTTTTCTTTTATTTTTTAAAGTCATAATTATATTGATAATATTAATATCTACTTTAAGAAAACGGAAAGTATCACACCTAAGATTTAAACTGCATATCATAAAAAATGTCCTCACTTTACTTCTCAATGTGAAGCCTGGTCACTGGCACCACACACATGAATGACAGTTATTTATCATTTTTTTTATAAGAGCAATTATTAATAAATTAATATTATTAAATATTAATAATTAAAAATTTAATCTTCAAATTTAATAAATAATCCACTTAATAAATAATCCATCGATCTCAATGAAATGTACGTTCATACGGTCACATGGTAGAGTTCTATCCACCATTTGTTAAATGTTGTGAATACAGCTGATCTAGCTATATTTAATATCAAATAATTTATTCAGGAGTGTTGTGCAGTCAACATCAAATTATGTCTACTTTTTCAGCTTCTTTTGATCTTTGCGAGGTGTACGGCCATTTAATTTACACGCACAGCCATATATCATTTTTTTTTTCTTTTATTTTTGAAAGTTATAATTATATTGATAATATTAATATCTACTTCAAAAGAGCGAAAAGTATCACACCTAAGATTTAAACTGCATATCATAAAAAATGTCCTCACTTTGCTTCTCAACGTGAAGCGTGGTCACTGAGACCACACATATGAATGGCAGTTATCTACCATTTGTTGATTGTGAATACAGCTGATCTAGTTATATTTAATATCAATGAATTTATTCAAGGGAGTGTTGTGCAGTCAACATCAAATTAGATCGTATAAAACTTTATATAAAATAGTTTATATTTTTTTTTATTAAGAGTGTTTTTGTTGTTTGGATGGTTAAGGTATTATTAGGATTTATATTTTATGTAAATGGTTTTTACTTGTTGAAATTAATTTGCTAAATTTCAAGCGGGCTATAATATTTGGGTATTGTAATGTATCCATTCAGTTTCATTTGTCAAATGTCAGTGCAGTGTGGTAGGTTTCTTTATTTATTGTTATAAAAATATAAAAAAAAATATTAATTGTAATTAGTTAATAGGTATTTGGTTAATATTTAGGTTAAATGTCAATTTTGGTCCATTAACTTTAAAGTTTTGAAAATTTTCATCTTTTAACTTTTTAATGTACTTTTTTGCTCTCTTAATTGTAAAAAATATACTTTATTAGTTCTTTGTCAATTAGTCCGTTAAGCTTATTTGAATTTGCACATTTTTAGTTCTTCAACTTTTAAAAGATATTCAATAAATTCTAAAACCTCCTATTATTATACATTCAAGTATTTTTTATAAAAGAAGAAAATATGTAAAATTAATTGAGACTTACATCTTATCTATTCAAATAGAAACAAAATTAAGATTAAAATAATAGACTAAAGCATATAAAATGTATCTCATCACTTGGGATTGGGTTCAATATAATTGCAAGATCATCAATTGCTTCAAATCATCAATTGCTTCAAACCCTCAACACAAAAGTATCCATTGATCAAGTTATTATAGAACAAACACTTCACAATTATTTGTCTTTTGTCAACTTGAGAACAAAATGCCCAAGCTATTATTGTGAATTTTAAGCACCACAATCTCACACAAATAAAAGCAATAAAGAATTTGAGACAACAATTTAACATGATTTGACTTATATACCTCTTAACAAATTTATGTCCATGGGAAAGAGATAAATGAATTCATTATTAAGAAAAAGAGGACAATAATTTAGAAAAATTTTCACTCAAGAAACTCTTAACACCTTAATTTCAATATATAGAAGCTGTCAAATTGTCCTTAATACTCTCTCCTAATCTTCATAAGGATTATCTCACAATTTTTCTCTTTCTTTTCTCTCACAAGGGCACTCGCACACTTAGCTCTTCTCAATTTCTCTTGCGTGCTTCTTCTACCTTGTACCAAGCTCTATTTATAGAGCTCATCAACTCACTTGAGCAAATGTGAACAAGCCAAACAAGACTCCTTTAGGGTGGTGCTATGTCTAGTAATAGGCTGGAGGAATTCTTCTTGCAATCAAACCTTTTGTCAACATGGTAATAAATGTCATGAGTAAATTTCAACAATTACAATATGGTAATAAATGCCATGAATGGTGGAAAGAAAGCTTCCCCATTTTTAACAATTTACACCACCTTTCAATGGGCCTAAATTCATGTGGACAACAATCTCTCCCTCCAGCTCCATTGAAGTAGAAATCAACTGTAACTCCATTTCGCCCTTTGACACAAAAATGCTCTTCAACATTTTTTAACCACCATAATTTGGTTCCCCTTGCTCAACACAAAAGTATCCATTGATCAAGTTATTATAGAACAAACACTTCACAATTATTTGTCTTTTGTCAACTTGAGAACAAAATGCCCAAGCTA